TTATGTAGGTGAATTCGAAATACATGTGAACAACAAGGATTCAACTCACCATCTGAATAACCTTCCTTGCTTTCAAGATGTTTCATTCCATCAGCCACCAGCCACCTACCTCCAGAAAACCTCCGTTATCGCCTGGATTTGCTTTAGTAAATGTAATTCTCAATTTTATTGTTAATGTTAATGTTAATTTTATTGTCTTATTGCATTTGTAATTTTATTGTTTGTTTTAAGAATTTTTATTGTAATTTTGTCATGTTTTTATTGCCATGTTTTAAACCTTGTTGTTTTATTTCTATTGCTGTACTCCTGCCTCGATCCATTGGGAGAGGCAGGACATACAAAAAATAATAATAATAATAATAATAATAATAATAATAATAATAATAATAATAATAATAATAATAATTATTATTATTATTATTATTATTATTATTATTATTATTATTATTATTATTATTACCCTTCCAGGCCTTCTGGCTGAGATAAACTTGGGGCCTTCAGTTCTGCAGCGGCACCAATGCTTCCTCCGGAACAGATCCTAAAACTGGGTGCCAGGAGGCAGTGCTTCCCTGTGCCATTTTGCATCTAAAAGACCCCATGTGCCACTAGTTTGTCAGCAACTGTATGGAAACAAGCAATTGTAATTTATTGTTGCCCCAGAGCTCTCAGACAGAGAAGGCTAAATGTCTCACAAAACTACAGTTCCCAGAATTCCCCAGCACTGAACCAAGGCAGTTTAAGTGGTTTCAGACTGGATTATTTCTGCAGTGTGTTATGGATCAAATTATCTGATAAAAGAGGCTAATTTTAAAAAAGTCTTTTTACAGAAAGCCCAGTCCCTCTTTTCCTCTTCATTCTCTGCCTAGCTAGAGGATTTTAGATTTTAGCATTGGGAGGATGGTGAAGGAAGACTGGAGAAAGCCAGACTTTCAGTAGAAGGTTGTAGCAGTGTCTACAGTAAACAACGCAGTGAAGTTTAAACTCAAACAGAATGGGATTATTCTGTTTGATCCTACTGTAGATGTATGTGCCTGCCTGCAGCAGGCAAGTTAGGTAATCTGCTGCCTCCAGAATTTCCTACTAGATATACATGAAGAGCAAACCAGTGAGAAAATAGGAAATCAGATCTCCCTGCTTCACCAATGGAGAGCCAGTGTGGCGCATTGGTCTGAGTGCTATATTATGACTGTGGAGACCAGGGTTTGATTCCCCGCTCGGCCATGTAAACCCACTGGGTGACCTCAGTCACACTCTCTCAGCCTCAGAAGATGGCCATGATAAGTCTCCTCTGATGAAACTTGCCAAGAAAACCTCATGTTGCCAAAAGCTGGAAATAACTTAAAGGCACACTGCAGCAACAAGCTTCATCAATATGTTCTTTAAAAGGCATAGATCTAATTTAATTACTAAATGGAAATCATAAGAAAAGGTGAGCCTTATGCAAAAAAGACCAAAAAAAAAATCCCTGGATATATTTTGCAAGAAGCTTTCAAGTGGTTTGTAGAAAGTGCAATTTTTTTTTTTTAAAAAAAAGGCTTATCCAATTCCCCAGCACTGACTTTTTCATTCCATATAGGCATATTTGTTAGTTTTGGATAAAAAAGTTGGCTGAAACTTGTTGAACTGCTCTTCTTTTTTGTGGCCTAGGAGCCTATCCCTATTCTCTCCATGTTATTCCTGCCTCGGGTATCAAAGTTTCTTTTAAAGAATTTTAAAACCTGCAACACATATCTACTTCGCGGAATGAAGTACACATTAATCCAATGTCCTTTTTTCATAAGCATCTGCCTAGGACAAAATGCTCCCAGCTAAGTGTTGCCATATGGCGAGTTGACAACACAGAGGGTGACCAGGCGTCCTCCTTTTCCAGGACACATCCTCCATCCCAGCCTTCTGTCCAGGAGAAATGTCAAAACGTCCTCCATTTTAAACAGGACCAAGCAGCATGATTTTACATTTCTATGAGTGTTGTTACCTTTTATTTTCTAACGCCCTCAATTTTTCTCAGAGGCCCTCCATTTTGCGGTGCCTTGTCCTCCTTTGAGGTGAGGACATCCTGTCACACTGCACACACACATACAAGGAGTCTTGGAAACAAACACACAAGGGTCATGAAAATACACGCATACAGAAGGGGGCTTGAGAACACACAAACACAGGAGACTTGAAAACAATACACAAACACAAACACACAGAAGGAGAGAAGGAGGCTTGAAAACAAACACATAAGGGGCTTGAAATTATATATACACACAATACACACACACACACACACACAAGGGGCTTGAACATACATACACAGAAGGGGGCTTGAGAACACATAAACACAGGAGACTTGAAAGCATACACACACAGACACACAAGGGGCTTGAAAACACACACATGGGGGGGTCGAAAATGTGTGTACAGTATTATATATATATATGTGTGTGTGTGTGTGTGTGTGTGTATACACACATACACATACATATATATATACACACACACACATACACTATAACAAATAAGAATAACAATAAAATACAATATACAATTAAAACCCTCATTTCTAAAAAATCCCCTACCCCAAGCCCCCTCCCAATCATAAAAAAGAAGCAAACTAAAAACAATAACAATATAAAATGAATAACAATATAAAATACTAATTAAAAGAGGAAGAAATAACAAATTAGCTAAAATTAGAGGTAATTAGAAGTGAGGGATACACACACAGGGAACTTGAAAATATATATACACGCACAGGGGACTCAGAAAATACACACACACACACACACACACACACACACACACGGGGTTTAATATATATATTATATACAC